TTGTTGTTGTTATTGTTGTTGTTGTCATCCCTGTATTTGCGGTTGTCCTTGTTTTTGGGGTTGTCACCATTTTTTCTCCTCTTGCTGTTGCGCGAATGCGCAGGGCGCCTCCCCGTCCCCCCCCCCCCCTGCCCAGCCCCCTGGACGCACGGGCAAGCCGCAGGGACGCTCACCGGCCGTCCTCATATCTTTTAAAGGAAGTCCCCAGATCCTCCATGGCTGCTGCTGTCCACCAACCTGTCACCCGTTCTCGACATTGCTCATTCCCCCGGCCCTTGCCTCGCTCCTTCCTCTTCGCTTGTCCACCCACTCCACTCCTCGTGAGTCTAAGCGCGCAATGTACGTGGCGTCATCTTCGGGTGTGGGTCCCTCGACGGACCAGGCCGGGGGGGGGGGGGGGCGCCCGGGAAACAAAGAGGGGGGGGGGGGGGGGGTGGGGGGGCGGCATTCAGCCGTCCGCCCCCAAAGTCCCGGGGCGGGCCGCGTCTCGCCTGCACAGCCGGGCATGCGCCTGGGCCAGGCACACGAAAAAAAAAAACAGCTCGAGTCCAGGGGCAAATAACGTCCATTGGGCCTGGGCGAATGGCCTGCTCGGGGGGAGGGGGCTCGGGTCCGGGCCACCTGGCTCGAGAGAGGTGCTATTTTTTTTCAGCGCATCCATGGGCCTTGTCTTTTTCCGTGGTCCTCCCACGGCCAGCGGGGTCAAGCTCGCGGAGTCCGACGGAGGGACCCCGGTTAGTAATCGTGCCACAATATTGGACGCATCCATCACCCTCCGGGCCCGGAGCCGAGCCAAGGCGTCGGGGCCCCTTGTCGAAGTAAATCACCCTCCCAGCCGCGAGTGTGCCATCCAGGGGGCGTCTCGCATGTTGCTGTTGTTTTCCTTCCCTCGTGGGGTCTGTTTTTTTTTTGATATTGATGATGTTGTTGTCCTTCTTGTTGTTGTTGTTGTTGTTATTGTTGTTGTTGTCATCCCTGTATTACATGCCCTTCCTTCTACACATGGGCCTCAGGCC